TGGAATTTACAACAGAAAAACTAGTTTACCAAAGAAGAGTTGTTAGGGGCTGCAGAAACTCATTGTTCCTCTGAGGAGTTTCTTGACTTGAATGACTCAGTGTTCAGACAAGCAGAAATTTATCCTATCCTGCTGCTCTGAAACGTGCACCAAATACTACTGCAGGAGTTATTTTGTTCTTTGAGCTGAATAACACAGAAGAGGTTTCTGACAAAATACAACACATTATAAATGATTGTACACTGGGAGGTATGGTAACTTGTTTGGAGAAAGAAGCTTGAGAGGTCAAAGGGAATCAGAATTCCAGACTAGGAAGAAGAAAATGAAAGAAGAAAAAAACAAGAGGAGAAAGGGAAAGAAAAAAAAAATATATATAATTAGACAGACCAGCATTATCTATCTAATAGAGAAGGTGTACAAGAGAAGATAGCAACTGAACTAGTGCATCAACAGGTCGATCACCAGACCTGGAAGCCCTCAAAATCTCCAACCATTAAGACCCCACCTTTGATCATTAGTGTTGGTTTCTTAGACTTGGGCATCATTAGAGCTGTGGCTTCAAGCTTTTAGAACCTTGGAAAGTCATAATGCAATTTGATAATTTGCAAGAGGATTACTTGAAGTGGCACCAGGGTCTGATGCTAGCTGAACTGTCCTCTTGAACTGAAGGGCAGCAGGAAGGATGTTCTTGCTGTTCAGCAGTGTTCAGAAATACAGGGCCAGCCTTAGCAGAAAGGACTGAACCTCTCTCTTTCTACTATTAGTTCTCCTCCATGAGATGGAATAATCTAGAAATAATGGTGGCTCTGCTTACTCTAATAAACTGCACATGTCACACCGTGGTGCCCTTATGGGGACCGAGAAGCAGAAGATCCGAGGGCATCCTCTCCTGCTCCTCCAGCTGAGGTCACCCCCTTTGTAGAAGTTGTCAGATCACACAGATCTAAATAACTCATTTCCCACTGATGTTTAGCTCCTCTTTATCTACAAGAGGCCAACCATTTCCTTTTCCAGACCACACTCTGCCAAACTAAATGAGACAAGATTTCCAGTCTTTCTTCTGTAAGAGAGGCCTCATCTTCCTGTCACCAGCACAGCTTTTTTCTGCACTCTTGGTTTGTCTTTTCTGACCAGGGATGCTTTAACCACAAGAGGATTCCAGATGAAGCCGAGCCTGAGCACCAGCTTGTCTCTTTTTCTGTTAGGAACACATTTCCCACAGTTTATCATGCTCACAGGATGCAAATGGTCCATATACATCCTGTGACCATCTTTCATAGTAATTTCCAGCAGATGAAATTATTGTTCCAAGCAGTTCTTTTAGCTATTAGTCTTCCAAGCTCATGGACACCTATTTTGTGCTATTGAATTTTTCTGTTCTGTTGAGTTTTAGGAGATGTTAATTATGCACAGTCAGCTAGCTCATTCACTCCAGCTTGCTGGCCTGAGTATATTCCAGCAGGTCTCATACATTTATTTCACTTCCCTATCTCTTCTGAAGGCACGTGTTGGCTCAGTTGTGGTATATTACATGCCTAGATGAGCAGCTGCGAGATATAGGGCTGTAGCTAATTCTGCTACAGGAATTTGGGTTTGAAGATTCTTTTGGTTCCCTCATTTGCTTGTTTTTACTTTTGTAATAGTGGGTTTGTTGTTCAGTTTAAAAAAAACCCACCTTATAATTGAATGGATCTGTCCCGTGATATCTGACTTTGCATGGGTTTTTATGAGTACAATAGAGATTCATGAACCTTATGTATGACTATCAACCTGTACTTTGGGAAAGGCCTATTCTTCCAAAAGAGAAGATGAAAGCGTTAGGTCAGCTTAAATAGAGTGTTGAATTATAACGGGTACTCCCATCCGAAAGCTATTGCAGGATTTCACTTATCCTTTGTAAAAAATTTTTGTTCTAATATACAGCTTTAAAATATTCATAAACTAGGTTATAATCCTTTACTCTTTGGACTGATATTCTTCAGCTTTTTCCTACAACAACCTTACTTGTCTTTAATTAGCAAGAATAAAAAATGCAAGATCATTTGGTCTTCTGAAGTATGACAGAAACTATATCTGTCTGCTTTTACAGATGGCCTTTCTCATCACCTATTCTAAACAGGTTATATCCTTCTTAACGTTTGGTGATCAGAACAATGCTGCAGAGTATTCTGGATGTGGTGTCGCTACTTCTTTATGTGCCAGCACTTAAATTCCACTACTTTTACTCTAGACACTTCCTCTGGTGTAACTGGTATGAGATTTTCACAGCCACAGTATATTCCTAGTTCATAATCACACTCATAGAAAATATTATTATACCCAGCACTTTCTCTTTTTGAACCCTTTCTGATCTGGAAAGTTCTGGCTACCAATTCTCATATATGTGGCCTTTCCATTTCCATTATTGAATTTCACCCAATTTTGATTTTTCCATGTCTTAAGAATTTCAGGAGAATGAGCTGCATCTGTATTTGCTTACAACAAATTAGAAACACTCTGTGTTTTTTATTCAGTCAAGAAATGTCTCCTATTTACCTTCAACACTGTCAACTGACAAGCAATATTTGCAGCCTTCCACATCTTCACAATGCATTTTGAGATGCAGCAGAACAAATTATGTATAGACTACATAAACAATAAGGGTTTCAAGCCTAGAAGCTTGTTGGAGTCAGCTGCCTAGATCAAACAAATATTGAAATTCTCACATCTATGCCACTTTTTAATACTTCAAACAGCCAGAAGTTTCCTCACTCTGTGTAGGGGTCAGTGAAGAAATGGAGAAGAGACAGCATTTCTCAACTGACAAATATACATACTACAGTAGGGTGACTATACAGGTTCTCTGTTAGAGCCCTATCTTGCTTTCTTCATTGAAGACTTTATGTATGGTTTCTCCTAAATGGTTATAATTTCTGATTGTCTGGAGCAATAGTCAAATATTAAATTATAATACCTAATAAATAAATAAAAATAATATAATTATACAGATGCTTATTTTTCTTAATGCCTACATGAAAACAGTATAGTGTTCAGAGGTGCTGAGTGTTGGCTTGTGTCCTTTAAGTCAGTGAAGAACTTCTGAAAGTTGAAATCCTTCAATTTGGTGCCTAAGAGAGGATGTAGAGTGGAACTTTCAAAAGCTCCAGAATTATTTTTGTGGACAAAGTTGATGGATCATTTTAAGTATTTACAAATAAACAAGTTTTCCCTAAATAAACAAGTTTTCCCTAAACAAGCACACTTGTGGAGAAAAACAAAACAAAACAAAATAAAATAAAACAAAAAAAACACCACCAAAAAAACAGGTCAGGCTGATTTTTAGTAGAGTTTGGTTTCTGGAAACCTTGGTTGTTTTTCTGTTATTTTGTATTAAATGTTTGGGGTTTTTTATGTTCTACCTACAGAGATGATTCAGTATTTTAAAGATCTAAATTTCTTTTGTTAATTTAGGCTAGTCATTTTGATTTTAACATTGATATAAAGAATAAAGTTTGGTTAATTTTCTCTGTAAAGCAAAAAATGAAAGCCTAAGTCTCAGTTACGCAGGTCCAGAAGTACAAAGGAGGATAAGTTTATACTCCTGATCATTTGATCATTTTTAGAACACTTTACACTCCTAACACAGAGTAGAATAGTGTACACAAGCCTCATGCTAATCACTCAGGTGGTAATGTGCATGCATAATCTTTTTTCTGTTCCATTCATCATTTTTGATGAACTGCAAAAATTGTACCGGAAACTTCAGACATCCTGCTTTCGTCATGCACATTTAAGGTTTCATAACTCTGGAAGTGTTAAAAAATACCACGATGAGTGGTATAAAACTCCTCATATAATCTATTATCCTGCTTCTGTTTTCATTAAGGAGTGTGTCTGTCTGCCTTTCTGCTCCAGGTAGATATTTCAGCATTAACTGAATATTTTGTTCTTGCTCTAGAAGATCCTGTCTCATGGTCTCAATCATGTCATTTACAAAAATTGCTACATGTTACAAACAGTGCCCTAGGCAATTCTTTGGATAATAGCAATAGTCCAGCAAAGTACTGCCCTACCAGGATAACGAAGAATTGCTGCTCCCCAGAGAAATGCAGTGACTCACCGGAGGCACACAGCAGCAGAGCAGGTGGCCAATTTCTCATGCAATGAAACATGTACTCCCTCCTTGGCTAACCAGGTCTTCCTGTCATTTCTTTTCCTCTGTAGGATCGTTTCTTCCCCTCAGAGAAAGGTAGTTTCTACAGTTGTGTCCATCTCTGTGAGGGAGATGTATGAAATGTATTTTCTTGAAGATTCACCTTACTGTGCAGTCTCAAAATCTGAGTGTTATTGTATGCTTTCCCTCGTGCCATAGATCTGGAGAAGAAATGAAGAATAAAGAAAATTATTCCAGAAATGGACACAAAACAATGCCAGCAAACTAAGTGGAAGAAAATTTCTTCTGAGATGTATCCTTTGTGAAGAGGTCTTTCTAGTTTGGCTACTTAGTTCTCCCAGGCCAGACAATCACTTCAGGAGCATGTCATGGAAGGCAAGACACAACACCCTGACATATTCTAGCTAAGGTGTCAACCTCAAGCACAAGTGCTTACCTCTTTTGGATCAGAGCACAATTTAAGAAGCACAGCTTTAAGGTGCAAGTACACCTTCTGCTTTGCTTTCTGCACATTCTGGTAGGAAACAGAAACCAAAGTGTGACCATAAATCTGCAGCTGAACACAGTTGCCCAAACTAAGACAGCCTCAAAGCTATAAAACATTTTTTCCAGTTCTGTGTTTTAAGCCTGAACCTGAACCTGATGCAATCAGGAATTAAATGCTGTCTATCCAAAAGAAGAGTTCCAAAGAAAACGGAAGAATTCTACAAAAGTGGCTGTTTTCTTCCATAATGGCAGAAAGGGAGGGTAGAAGTGAAGTAAAGAGGAAGAAAGAGAACATAGCAGTGAGAGAAAGAGGAACATTTTCTCGGCAGTAATGTGATTGAGGAAGCTCAGATGTATCTTGATGTCTTTGTTGCTTCGTTTGTGTCTGGCAATATGAGGAAACCCCACGAAGGGGTAGATTTTCTTCCTAGCTTACTACCTGCAAATGCTAGATCTTTTTCTATCTTTTTGTTCTGACATTTTTCTTTTTATCAGCTATGACAGAAGAAGTAACATATGCTAATCTGAAATTTGAAAACAGCCATGAGCTGGATAATATCACAAAGCGTGAAGATACTAAGGAAAAAGGTGTAGTATCTATGAAGCTTTTATGATTTATTCTTGCTAAAGTAGATGGGATGGGAAATACTTTTAATTTTATGTCCAAGGGGCCTTTGTTAACTTTGTTACTATCAGAAAAGTTATTCTAGTTATAAATGTATCTTGGTTTTTGTTGCTTTCATTTCTGCCTGAAGTTTTTAGAGTTTGGAAGGTATGCCTGATATAGTGATCTTATATTTAATGGAAAAGCATATTACTGAGTGTTATACTAAGATCCACAAATAGTCCTAATTGTCTAGTTAACTTGAACTAATTTTTAAAGTGAATCAGTTCCATTTGATTTTTACATGCATTTGCATTCAAGCTTAGAACTGAATCAGCTTTAACTGACTCACTTTATTTCACTTCTGAAGTCCTAATTGAATTAAGGCACTGGTCTTTGAAATGGCTGTATCTGTTAAAGGGCTGGATGCACTTTAAATACTATATTTAAAATTAATTGTGCTTAATTTGTGTTAAATTGCGAAGATGAGATCTAGATTTGAATGGTGCAACTCATGGGAACAAAGGACATAGAAAGTACTAGCTGTTTGTGAGGTCAGGCTCCGAAGCAGAGGTTTACAAATAAGAGGACAACTTGCTTGTGATTCATAAGGACTTGTCTGGGGAATTCCATGTCAAAGAGCAGTGGTTTAGAACACTGTTATGTTTTTTGAATATACGTTATGCTTTTTGAACATATGTTACGTTTCTTGAACATATGTTATGTTTCTTGAACATATGTTATGTTTCTTGAACATTGTTATGTTAGTTATGGTTTTGAGCATTGCCAAAGTATAATACATGAGTTTAAAAAACAAAACAAAACAAAACAAAACAAAATAACAAAAAAAAAAAAAAAAAAAACCAACCTAAAAATCTGAACTGTCTTTGTGTTAAGCTCTGGACTTCTTTTCCTTTAATATCAAATGACACCCATATCCTCATACGTCTCCACATGTCCTCCTCCTGCATCCCAGGGTAGACAATGCTTATTTTGTGATGAGAAAGCACCATTCTGAGAAGGCAAGCACAGAATGCCCATTAGTTCACAAACATCAAATTGAAACAACCACAATGAATAAATACATACATCCTAGGACAATGGGAGTACAGTACAGGAAGGAGGACCCAGCCCAAGGCCCCTTCAGCTGTGCTAGATGTAGCAGAAGCAGTGTGAGGTTACAAAGTACAGGGAATCTCAAAAAACTCTTGAGGCAGTACCTTAATTAAAACAGCCAAAGCTAAAACTTCTACTTGGTCTTGATTCATAATGCTGCCCAGAAAATATTTTGTATTTGTTTATGAAATCTCACTTTCAAATTACAAAGTCTTTGTGTCTTCTTACCTAAAAGCTCCAGGAAGCATGGACTATAATGCTTTCAGTATTCAGCTTGGGGCTGTGACTTTGTAGGGGTAGGAACAACTTATTTTTGCCCTTTAGCTCAAATTCATATGTATTTATTTAGCAGCCTGCCTTAGGGAGTCAAATTTCTATTACTGAAGCTCTCCAGGCACCTAATATTCATCTTCAGAGCATGTAAGGAAACATTTTGACCTTAAAAAATTCATATGTCCCAAAAGTCAACGCATCCTTAAGTCCTGTTAGGATCTATAAGGTATGTGATTCTCCTGTGCAGGCTTTATCTGAGTGCATCTGTTGTATGCCTGTGAGATCAGACTTTGGAAAACAATGCAGAAAGGAGATATTCTTTCTCTTTGTGAAGTGCTTGGGTATTTCTCTTTTACTCAACGCCAAGCAGTTAGAGCACTTCCTTAGCCTGGGGTTGCATTCTGTGATGAAATGCAAGTGCTCAAGTGTGGCAGACATAACACGTATTCAGCAAGGCTTTTGTCAATGTGTCTTATAATATTGTCATTTTAAAGCTGAGGAAGTTATGGGCTGGATGGTGGACCATTAGGTGAATTGAAAATTGGCTGGACTACCAGTCTTAAAGGGGAGTTAACTAATGGCTCAACATCTGCTTGGTGGCAGAGTCCCTCAAGGGTGCCTCGGTGATTGATACTGAGCCCATATTGTTTAATATCTTCACCGAAGACCTGAAAAATGACACAGACTGTCTTCAGCAATTTTATAATGATGTTAAACTAGGGGTGGTGGCTGATGCTACCAAATGGTAGAGCTTCAAAACAGGGGAACCTTGAGAGACTTGAGGACTGAGTGAGCAGAAACCCCATGAAGCTGCACAAGTTGTTGTGCACTGAATCTGGACTAATCCCAGGCAGTGATACAGACTGAGAGCAGGCTGGCTGTAGAGGATGGGAAGGACCTGGGGTTTATGATGAATGGGAGGTAGGATATAAGCCAGCGGTGATCTGTGTCCCAGTTTAAGACAACATCCATTGCTTAATCTTCTTTCACCTGAATATTCATCAACTTCAGTTCCTGTAGAGTGAGATCTTGTACATTTTGCCCAGAACTGCTTCACCACAGAAGTTGACCACAGGTTGTTTGTAGGAGAGTCACACTGCATGGTTTCCATTCATGTTCCTTCAGCTTGATACACTATATTTCAGTTCCTACTCCTTCAGCAATTCACACCCTAATATTAAATACCTTTTTTTATTTTCTAGACTAGCAATTTCCTCTCCATATTCCCATTCTATTGCATTTATTGGATTAAGTCAAGCTGGTTGCATCTCTCTATGAAGTCCATAGAGTGGCAAGTTTAATATCTGCCTTAAATCTAATGTTTCCCTGAAAAACTGAATGCTTTTTCTCCCTCCTGCAGTGCATCTTAACCCATCAAATCTTCCAGTTCCTATAAACAGGGTCTTTTTTGAATGACCCACATGCTTAAAATTTCCTTCACCCAGGAAAAGATTGTTCCTTTTTCTCCTCACTGAGCACTCATTTCTATATACAGGCTGTAACCCTTATTACAGAAAAAATGCCTATGAATTCTTAGCTAGAAATCTCAAACTACCATCAAGTATCAGAGGAGTTTACTGTAGCACTCAAATTAACCAGATTATCACAGATACATGCCACACATCACAAATTACCACAACCACACAGTGCATATTTGTTTTCAGCTCTGAGCAAGCAACTTCCTAGATTTTGCCATATCTTGCTTTCTGAATACCTTTCTTGCCAATGAGCTGTCATGATCTCTCACTCTCTTACTTTGTTTGGGCGTCTTTTGCTGTGTACGGAGACCGTGCATCAGGAATATATAACTGTAAAGTAAAAGCAATTATTTATCCACAAATGCACCACAAAGATGGCTGAAATTTAATGAGGCTAATGTGTGCACCATTCCCTTAGTATTGCACCTCTGTTTCATGACAATTTCTCCCAGGGCCTCCCACTTCATCCCGCTCTTCCTGGCCAGTAGTCCTGATTTTGTTCACGTTGTGTCTGACATTATTGACGGCGCTGGTGGCCCTGGCAGTTTTATGTAAGTATTAATGCATTTCTGTTTATCAGAGAGGATCAAGCTTCTGAATAACATCAGACTGGCATCTCCTTCAGGTGCAATTGCTGGTTCAGCTGAGAACAGACAACCAGGCAAAACAGATATTTTTTCTTGCTGCAGCATCTTTGTCCTCTTCCCAACATGATGAGGCTAGAAATGAGCAATATGGAGGGGAGCTGGAAAGGGGTGGAGTAGGAGATTCACTGCTTGCTCTGGCTGCCATTGCCTGTTCTCCTAAGAACTGTATCCACAATCCGGCTATGCTGATTAACAATGGAGTGAATTCCTCTGTGATGATGCTGCATCTGAAGGGAAGGGAAAACCTTTGTGTCACAGTAAACAGGTTGTGCCTATCACCTCCCATCCACAAAAATTTCCAGAGCTGAAGTTCACATTTTTAGGAAAAAAGCCCAGCCTAGAAATCAGTATAAGAAAAAAAAAACACAATGGAAATATATGGTAAAAAATGGCACTTTAATTTTGTTGTTCACTCACAGCCAATTAATAAGAAATCTAAACATGTAAACGTTCTCTATCTCAGCAGCCCTTACATGCATCTGTGCAAGGAGGAATAATGTTTATCTCAAATGATTTATTTATCCCTAATGAACTTCTAAGAGATTCCCTAGCTGCATCCCACCCTTTCTGAAGGACAGCACTGGAAAATGTCTCATTGTGAATTTCAGTTTTCCAGATTCACAAGGACTACAGGACACAACTTAGAGACCTCAACATGACAAAGAATGAGCTGCAAGCAAATTTCTCAAATATGCTGCAAACAATAGGAAATCAGCTGTGCTTGGATGGGGAAAGCAAACTTAAAAATAATGGTAAATCAGCATGTCTTGATGAAGGGATGAAGGCTTATCTTTCAACATAGCAGGGAAGGAAATGAGATGTGCCTTCTATGTCTAACTCAGGTCTGTCTACTCAGGTGAGCCTGTGTCTTCTCAGATGTGACCACCAGAAATCAGGCAATGAGCATGTCCAGCTCATGCAGTGCCTGGAGAGAGGCACCCAGTCTGTCCATATGTGCACTGGCATGGGACCTGGCACCAGTCCCAGGCTTCCAGGATTTAGTTTCCATAAGGAAAGGGTTCTGTGGGATGCCTTCCAGACATGCCAGTTCCTGTCAGCACTAGTTCAAGGTTCTCTAGAAGATGCTCATCTGCATCTAGTAGACAATTTTACAGTGGTGCCTGAGAATTAAACAACTTACTGCACTCTATATGAACAGCAGTCCACACACAGGCCAGTGTGCCAGTACTGACTCCAGGTAAAACAGGAATCTCCTAAAGTCAGCAGTGATGGGCAGTGAAGCATAGCCTGGGAATTCAGTCCCTGTCTCCTGACTATGTACAGTGTAGGGCTGTTTCTGAAATTAGTTTGCCACAGCTTGATTATTTAAGTGGCATCTGACAATGAGCTATTGTGAGGAGTAGGGGCATTGGGCAAAGGGATCCTATTGTGACTGTCAGGAAAGGGGATTTCATTGGTCCTGATATTGTTCCACAAACCAGCTAACTGTCTAGGTCTTCGTTTTAGACAATGAAGAGAAATTGGTAGTGCAAGGATACAGTCTGTTTCCTCACAAGAAAGAGATGCATGAGACACACCCACTTCTGTCCATTCACTAAAATGGAAATCCAGACGGGTAGACTCATGTCACCTTTGTAGACTCCTAAAATCAGGCAAAATAAATCCCATTTGCAACACCTGAACCTCCTCCCAGTGCTAAAGAAATGGGAGAGATAGCGGTGTGATTCAGTTTTCATCTGTGTCATTACCTGAACCTTCAGGGACTACAGCAGGATTTCCACTGAATGAGGACAGTCTCAAACATCCTCAATCCCTACAGATCTTGTCGTCACAGGCCAACAGCGATGTTCTGTGAGGGACAGCCTGGGAACAGAAATGACATGATGATTTTCCTTTTCCAGGCCAAAACTGTGTACTCTGCCCTGCAAACTGGAAGTGGGAAGGTAATGATATGTGTTACTACCACTCTGAGGAAAAAGAGTCATCAGAACAAAGTCATCAGTTTTGTTCCTCACAAAACTCTACTCTTCTTCTGATAAAAGAGGCCGCAAAGCTGGTATGGACTGGTTTCTCAAGCTGTTTAGTATGGAGAAAGTTCATGCACTCTATCAGCTACACACCACACATATAATTTTCTTAAATAGCACTGTAAGCAGGAGTTCTTCTACAGTGATTATGTTGTTCCAGGCAGTGCTAAGGCATAGGACTGGTCATTGCCACACAAAACATGGCCCCTTGAGTTGCTGGAGGTCAGAGGCTGCCAATCTTGCCTCACCTTGCCATGGCTGGCTGCTTATTGGGATGACTGGTGAAAGAAAGTTCATGGCTGTTTTGTTGTGGGCAATGATTTCACTAATTTAACTAGTACTACATATCCATACAGGGATTTGTTAAGATATTAGTGTGAAAATTTCTTTTAACCTGGTCTCCCCATACACAAACCATAGTCCTCCCCATTTTATAGAAGTTATTTCCACAAAAGTTGATCATATCTTTTCAATCAAAATTAAAACACGTGGGAGAGAGTTGCTGAAATGTGGCCTAATCTTTTAGTAAATGAAAACAAATTGAGGTGGGAAGAGAAAACGCCAGGTGTAGAGTGAAATAATGCTTTTGCCTCTGGATGCCAGCAGACGTATCGGAAGACTAAAGGCAGAAAAGCTATCCCAAGATCTAGCAGCCAGGGCTGGGCCTGCCTGCTCCCCAGCACTTGGAAAAATGACTGTTCCCCTCTCACTGAGCTGCAGGCCATAAGGTTTCTCCCAGAAGTAAAGGGGAGAAGCTTTATTCTCACCCTCCCAAATTGGTGACAGCAAAGATTTTGAGGTGCAGACTGTTCTAGCTGTCTTAATCACAGCGTTGAGAGGTATGAGGCAAAACAGAAAATGGAGAACTGCACTGGGAGTGGTAATGATAAGTGAAAAAAAGAATAGAACAAGAAAAATTGAATTCAAATCTTTAGAGATTTCCCTCAAGCAGCAGTGACAAAGGCAACATTATAGAAGCTTACATTCTTACATGTTCCACTCAGAGCATTTTTTAAGAACAGCTTATCTCTGAATAATTAACTTTAAGATTCCTTCTACTTGTCATGGTCCAGCTTCTGGCAATAAGTTAATGATGCTAAAGCCAAATTTGAAGGTTCAACAAATCAAACCCACCATCTCCCTGCAGAGGCTTCCTTTCTCTGCTAACAAATGTTAAGGACATAGTAAAGGGGGAGGAATCATTCATGACTAAAGTGGGGAGAACAATCCAGTGTTTCACCCAGAGGGTTTAAATCAGGGTCATGAGGGTGACATTGCTCTTCAGAGATAGAAGTGTATCTTCTCTCCAATTAAAAACAACTCTACTGTCATTTCTTCTTTGCTACTAGGCTTTTCCTTTAAGTGTAAAACTTACTGACAGATTAACAATTTGTGGTATTTATGTTCTTTAAGCAATTTCCATCAATGCTTTCAACTTCTGAGCCTAAATATTTATTTTTAATATCTTCCTGAGTATCTGTTCTGAATTATCCTTACTCTGCATAGGAATTGGTAAAAAAATTTCCCAGACGAATATACTGGCTTGGATTAACATTTAGAGCTGAACAGAAAGAATGGTATTGGGTAGACAACACAGCTCTTACAGAAGAACAGAAGTCTTGGTAAGTGGCAGCTTTCCCACAGTACATAAAGTTGGTCCTCACCCACAGGCAACTCCCAGTTTCTCTGGCATAAAGGGCACAGTGAGTAGCCAACTCTTATGCAGCATCCTCTGTATACTGGGTCTCATTTTTCCATCTCAGATTTTTCTTGGCCTACCTAGAACTGCTTGGAGGGTGATCTAGGCACTATCACTGGGGAAAAAAAAAAAAAATAAAAAAAAATGTACCTGGAAAGTTTATTTCCACAATTTAGTTTCAGATTGACCATAAATATCATCTGTTTCTGTTGTATTTGACATCTTGTTTCAGTGAGGATACAAGAAAAAAACTGCAATGGCAAGGTATTTCATTTCATGGTTCTGTTTTTATGCTTTTTTATTTTTATATAAGACACTATTTATTCTCTAGAATCATATCACTTCAGTTTAACATGTTATTTCATAAATACATTTTCCTTCTTGATTTCAAACCTTCTTTGCCAATTCTCCTTTAATTATTGGGCAATGTCCTCTCAAAATTTCTGTTGAAATAGCCACTGACATCCTCCAGGCAGTACCGAGGAGTTAGTGTTTCTTAATGTCAGGTACATGAAATGGTTTAGGATCCACACTTAGAGACTGATGGGGGTTCTTGTTGGCATATTCATGAGAGGGTCAGCCTCCTAGGAATTGGTGCACGATGTCACTAAATGCTTTATTTCTTTGTTGGGGGTATATATTTTTCGCAAAAGCCACATAAGTAATTATTGCAAATATGTCTCTTTTTGGAAGGGGTAAGGATGTGCCATCTGAATGAGGTAAGATGTAACAATAAAGATTTTTCTTTCCTAGGGCAAATAACCTAAACTCCCTTCAACCCTGTGCATATTTTTATTATGAATTCGTATATAGCATGTCATGCAGAGAAAAGCTTTACTATGTCTGTGAAAAGCCCGCCATCCAATTACATCGAGGTAACAACCATTGGCAGGAGGACTGGTTTGTCAAACTGAAATAAGTAGGAGAAGCTATAAGACATTCTGCAAGGTTGGAATTTTTTATTTTGTTTCTGAGAACTATCACATGAGAGCTTATGTTGGATCGAACCTAATAAACTTCCCTGTTTTCATTCTTTTTTAGCCAGATATAAAAATATCTTCATACTATGGAAATGGGCATGGTGACAGGCTCCAGGAGCCACCCAAGTCTGTTGTTCCAGATCTAAAACTGCCAAATGATTACTCAGTATTAACCAACACAAGTCATAGACAAAATGGACAAAAGTGATGGCCAGGAAAAAAAGCAGTGACAAGGCAAGCACATAAAGCTACTGCTCCTCTTCCAACATCCACTGATACAGTCCTAATACTACTTGTGAGTTCATGACTGTGCAGCTGTAACATAACACAAGGCACGAGGATTAAACATTTCCATTCAGGAGACGCTTCTGATACCTTGTTGATCTGATGACGGTGATTGAGGGATGGGACTCTAGATGGGTGTAAACAAGAAGTCGAGAAGTTGAAGTCGAAGTCATTTATTGTCAGCAGCTCTTCTGCAATTATACAGTCTCTAACAATACTTGTCAACATTTGATTGGTCATTACTCTCTATCCATAATACACCAGACAACTCATTGGCTACAAGTTAGTTACTGCTATCTGAAGACTATTGGTTAATTAAATCTTACAAGCACAAGCACAACGTCTTATACACTTTTAGTTCAAGGCAAAAAAATTTCCACTGTTTAAGGAATGGCCAAATGTTTCTGTTAACTGCAGTCTTGCATGTTTTCCTTTAGATAAAACTCAGCATTCTTGTCTTGTTCTTCCTCCTACATTCCCGTTTGCTGCTCCCAAGGCTTCTGGCCCACCAAGGTCAAGATGTCCTCATCAATCACTAACTTTACAGCACTCTCAGTCCTTCTTCCCAGAAGTCCTCATACAATCTGACTGCTTTAATAAACTAGTAGGCTGGAGTATACAACACACAAACACAGTTATCCTCAGAACATGGGCCAAAGTATTCCTGAACTGTATTAGCAATCATATTTACTCACAAACACAGGAATTCATAGTCCTCATAGGGACTTATGCATGTATCACAGGATAAAATACCCTTCAGCTATGAATGTCTAGATCTATTCCATGCTCTATACTTCTTCCAGGCACTGTTAGTTCTCTCTTTTTTTTTTTTTTTTCTTTTTCTTTTTTCTTTTTTTTTTCTTTTCCTTTTTTTCCCCCCCTAGTAATAATTTTTTATTTTTCTAATTTTCTACTTTTTTGATCTATTGCAGGCGTTACACTAGGATTCAGACAGAGAATAGAAACTTCTTTTATATATATTTTTTGTATATTTCCTGTAATGTCATACTACTAACTTAATGCGCTGAGCAAGAGTCTACAAACCCAACCATAGTGAAACTACCCCAGGCAGTGTTAATGAACAAAATGCCTCCCTCCATATCTCCATAGAACAATGACAGTAAGGTTCAAATAAGAAATCTCAGTCACATAACAGTGTTTTGATCTGAGAAAAAGTCCACAGATTCCTAGCGTGGTCCCCTCTGGAGACTTGTGTATTCCTTGTGGATTGCATCCCAGATTATTTATTGTGGATCATTTACCACTGATGTAGCAGCTGGGCTGCTAAGGCATTAGTCAATCCCTTTCAGGAATGACTAGTTCTAGTTCTAGTGTCTCACTGATCTCAGCACTACGCAGCAGTTTCTGATCACCAACATCAACATTTAGGGTGTTATTTTCAAATACCAATTTCACACTCCAGAAACCTTACTGGATTGCTTTTCCTGTCTACCATTAACACTCACCACCTGCATCTCTAATGTAACCTCTCCTAGCTACTCCTCTCAGTTCCCCTCCTCCCTGTTTCTGTCTTTGGAGGTGAAAATGCAGAATGTCTCTATCCTGCAGTGCAGCCACAGCCCAGGTGACTTCCCAGCATGTCTCCCAGCATTTGCATCATCTACACTGAAATAAGAAATCTCATGTGGAAGGTATCCTGAACTGCATTCATGGTGCATCCTTTCGTGATAATGAAGGGCTTTGTTGTAATTTGCCACGAAGATTAAAAAAAAGAAAGAAAGAAAAAAAAAAGTCTGATCTTTTTTTCTCTTAGAGTGACTGTGAGAAAACAGGAAAGATATTTCCAGGATGTTATTTCAGTAATGAGGCATGCCTAAGAGCAGATGGGAAAATCCTAGGAGTTTCTGCAGGTTGTGGAAGACAAACATGACTTGAGGTTGACAGCTTCCCACTCTGACAGGCAGTCACAGGACTACATCGGATCTTTCCGTGGCCTTGAGCTTTTGGGTCAATTTACTGCCAGCCTGAAAGCAGTATCTGGTGCAGCAATTTGTAACCATAAAGGCAGTTGGGGTTAGAGTACAGTTTCACTGCGCGCCGTGCTATCAAACAGGAGCTAGCTGCTTCTCCTCAAAAAACAATGACTACAACATTAAAAAAAGAAAACAAAACCAAACAAAACGGAAATAAAAAAATCACCTCAGGGAAGAAAAACAGGAGGCAGTGCCCTGCTATTCATTGCAGGCATTGGGAGTGCTGCAGCAAACGACCTCCTCCAGCAAGGTTCAAACTGGCAAAGGACATTCCCAGGTGGTAACCAGATAGGGCTAAGGCTGAGCCATCTGACTGCATCCCTTTTTCTATTGAAAAGAGTTTTTTCCTTACAGGGGAAAAGACATAGAAATGTACTGTTCGTGTACTGGTTGAGATGGCATTTTGGAATCACAGTTTCAGGCAACAATGTGTTTCCCATGTCTCAGTTCCACTCCTCACCTCCCCCCTGTCCCCAGTCATAGACTCCAGCTAATGCAATTTGCAAGGTCACATTCTTGTTAATAAACTCAGTTGTTTTGTCCAGCTTGATAGCAACATTTATACATAGTCTGTGTTCAAATGTAGACCCAAACTTCCTGCCTTAGTTTACCTTCCATTTCATTTTAGTCTGAGGAAACAAGAAATTTTGCCTGCCCTGGGTGCTTACAATAACAGAGAGCATGATGACGAAGCCCCATCTTGCTGCTTTTGTTACTTCTGTTCTTTCAGCAGGATCTGTTTTAAAAGGTGACTGAAAAAAAAAACAAAACAAAACAAAACAAAACACGGTGATATAATTAACAGACTGCTTACTGAATTGAGAGCTACCAAAATAATACAAAAAAAATTACCTCCTGTTTTTCTCCAGAAGTAAAATCAGGTTGGAAAAGTTTCCCCAAAGGCGATTCATTGCATGCTTGAGAAGTTGTTGCTAAGACTGAAGAGGTTAGTGTCATGAAAACTTGCAATGAAATTCAGTAGCACAGACACACTCCAGTCCCAATTATCTGAAGTAAAGCACTTTTTACACTAAGGTGCCAACATACAGTTTTCAGGCCCAATAGACAAGTATTTTTGCACCATAGTTAGCATGAAGTTTTTATGAGGCTATTATGGGTACACCATGAATACACCATGACTGCTAATCCTTGTGTGCCACTGTTTAACAGAACCAACTGCAACTCCCAACTTTTCCATCATGCTTTCTCTTTGCATACAGGTAATGCAAGAAATACATGCAGCCAGAGATATTTCTGCTCTGAAGAAATCTATCTGCACAGCAAAGGCAGGAAGAATAGCCCAGTCATCAGAGTGTATTTCCAGCCTGTTGATATTATTTTGCAGATGGGAGACTCTCAACTTTACACACAAGAGCAGAAAGAGCTGCCACAGAAATTCCTCTCTTGAAATTTCCTTTTGACTCACCCTGTCACTACAACATGACTCATCATGTCTGACCAAATGCTCAGTTAAGGAGAGCTGGGCACTGAAGATGTTTCAGAACTATAGCTCAGCACTGAAGTAAAGCACTGCAGGGAGCTGGACATGGAGAGTGAGGATGGACAAGTCACTTCTGCACAGTGACTTGTGCAACAGCAGAGAGGTCTTCAGTGCAGTCTGGTCGTTCTCTGACACAGGCTGAGTGGTCACATGAATCCTACCAAGCTCCTGGCTTCACCATCCTTTCAGCTCAGCTTTTCCCCTTCTAGCATTTATTTCAGTGAATTTTTGTAAAATAAATTCATTCTTCATTCATTTCATAACAGCGTATGGAAATGCAGCCTATTGCTTTCCATTCAGCTGTTGTGTTGAATTTGCGCCCTGATACATGAGCAGATATATTTCATAGCTTAACTCAAAATAGCAGCTATTTCTAGAGCATCTTATTTTAAGAAGGTAGAAAATCCTGATGGTTGCTTTGCTTACGGGGTCAGATCAGGTGGATAGTTAAGTGAAACAGACTTATATTCCAGCCAGGAACCAAGACTACCTATGTTCACATTCATGAAGAAAACACCCATCTTTGACAGTGCCACCTTAACTCCTTAATGTGCTTCCAATATGTTACACTTTTACTATAACATGGTAATCAGAACAGCACCAACTTCCTCTGTGGTTTCACTGAAAATGCTGAAACGTGAGCCATTCTCATCACCCCGGCATTGGTCTCGCTGCAGTGTGCCCCTACTCCCAAAGTGCTCCTACTGCAGGAAAGAAGGGTGACAAGCTAGAGATGGAGGATGAGGAAGGCTACACTGCTTTAAATTTACAACCCTCAGCTTCAGTTATTACTCCTGGATATCCGAGCAGAAACAAATGTTCTGCATTTAAGGCTCCAGCCACTTGTGTTACAGTAGACAGTAAGTACAGATGGAAATTAGCTTTTTGGTTTAAATGAGGGCATAACTCAAATTTGTATGTACATGTTGGTTCTTTAGAATCCTTCTAATCTTTATAGTATATTCTTAGATAATCTTTATAGTATATTCTTAAATAAATGTTCATAGAAACAGCACAAATTATAATGGTGTCTTGTGTGCTATTATTTATGATCATAGATGATATTTTTTCTGAAGCTTACCTTTATTCCATTATATTTTCTGTTTACTTCAACACAGAAGACAAATGCCACCGTTCTATGTTGCTTTTGCTTTTTTTTTTTCTTCATTTTGGTAGAATTCTTTTATTACAGTATGGCACTACAAGGGAGGAAGGCACTACAGTTTCACAGATAGCACAGGCCGTGGAAAGGGAAGCAATTTCTTCAGCTATGGATAGCAGAAAGGTGCCCTGTTTATCAGTCTAAATAGTGAATGTAAGCTCTGATAGAAGTATATATTTTTATTTGTTTATACTCAGAGTTTTTCTATAAACAAGCAGAGTGCTAACTAAGGTGTCCGTGGAATGCCTGAGACCATAAAATGATGTCTTGGGTACTGTTGCTGCTACTCATAAATTCACCACACGGCTTATGTGTGAAATAAATATCATTGCTGCTATTTGCAGGTTGGGTAGAGTAGACAAAGACTAAATTAACATCACCCTGGTGCTGCCTAGAAAAGATCTAGAACTATCCATTGAGAATGACTTCTTGACAAGGAGGATGGAGGAGAAGATGCTAAGAAGCAGCCAGAAAACCAAGAATAAAATATTAGGGAATGTGATCTAGGGGTGGAGCTTCCCAAAAAGAAACAGGTTGGCAAGCTCAGAAAACTCTTAAAATGGTCTTTTGATATGCACAGAGAATGTGTAAAGTAGATAGATTTATGATCAAATTAGGTTGGGAGGAACATCTATAGTTCATCTTTTCCAATCTTTTGCTCGAAAGGACTAGCTCTAAAAGTCTTATGAAGTTTCTCAGGGCCTTGTCACTTGAATTTTGGAAACCTCCAGGGATGGAGATCTCACAGACTCTCTGGGCACTTTGTCCAGTGCTGAAGGGGAAGAATCCTTTTTCCTCACATCCAATCGAAAGATTCCCTGGTTCACCCTGTGACTCTTACATTGCAACCTTTCACTGTGCCTCTCTGAAAACAGTCTGGCTCCATCTGTAAAGATCTTTTCGGTCAGGGAGGACTGAAATTAGATCCTCACTTAGCCTCTTCTCCAGGCTAAACAGGTTCTTCAGCCTCTCTATAGGTCCCTGACCAACAGCAGTATTCCTCTGCAGTTAGCTGACTTCTCTGTTGAACTGGGAAGCTCAGTACCCAATACCCCAGGCGTGGCTTCATGACTGTCAGAGATGAATAATCACTCCCATCGACCTGCTGGCTGTAATCTTGCCAATGCAGCCCATTTCTAGCCAGCTTTCCCTGCCTCAAGGGCACATCTGGGGACTCACATTCAACTTGTCCACCAGGACCCTGAAGCTGCTTTCTAGGCAGTCAGTTCCCTACCTGTACTGCTGCATGAAGTTGTATCGTTACAGGTGCTGGACTTCACATTTGCCTTTGTTGAGCTGCACTTACAGCTCACTCCGAGGATTTTTAGGTCTCTTTAAAAGGAAGCCCTAAGCCTCTGGCATATGTCACCACCCCAGTGTGTTGTCATCTTCAGTCTCTTCAAATGACCTTACCTGGTGAGGGTTAGGGTCATCTCCCTTAACTTTGGTTTTGTAAGTTTTAGTTGCCAAGTCTATCTGGACTTCTGGGCACCTCTGGAGGGCTTTTATTCTCACCTAACAAAACCTTAGTTCCCTGGAGGTGCTTGTTCTGATGCACCGGACTCCAGTGAAATATTTGATGTAACGATATGAAAGCGTATTACAGAAAATTGCAGAGCATTTCTTCACAAAAGGGAAACATGCATATATATATATATATATATATATATAAAGTATTATAAAGTATTTTAATCAGGAGATAATTAGCTGTAAAATTCTGAAGAACTATATTTCCGATTAGACATTAAACTTTGGAAACTTTGGAACTTTGGAGAAAGAACCTGAAGAAAGATATACAGTTTAATGTTCAAACACTGCAATCATTTAGACACCCCGATCACAGATTCCAGAAGTAATTATCCAAAAGTAGACGATAGTTTTTCCTTTTCAAGGTGGAAAAGTCTTAGCGGTTGTTTTATTATTTCCAGGAGTGTGGGAACTGCAAAATCTAATCTACCTGTTTCATGAGATGTTTTACTCAAAAACACTAAAGCCTAACAAATAGTTAATAAATATTCAGAGTGGGTAAATAGATATTTTCTCAAACTGACTCCAGGAAATTCAGAACAGTGGTAACAACTGCAGTAAGGAAAGA